CGGGGTTGCTGGCGGGGATAGAGATTGAGTCCAAAGGCGCAACTGAACGAGTACGTCGTGGTTCGTGAATGGCCGTCTGCCAGCCTCACAGCTCTGTCAGGCAGCGACAGAATATCAGCGAAACGCGCGTGCCTGGACCTTTAGCTAGCACCTGTGCTGTCAGTATGACGTATTATGTAACCCCTACACATACAACAGCCTCGCGCCCATTCATGTGTACTGACAGATCGATATCCATGCCACTTCCACGAAAGTTAAGAGCCCTCAAAAGATGCGTAGTTAGGGAGAATGTACGCACCCTCATATTTTTAGACAAATATGCCTGGAGGAACAATTTCCTTGAAGGGACGTAATAGACAAAACTCAGGCTTCAGTCTTTGGATATAATTTCTGGCAATATATGGCATTATGGTTTAGCAAAAAATCAGTGCCTGAGTACTTCAAAATGGACTGGCTGAGCTACTGAGCCTATTGCCGTTTGAGAATTGTCATAATATTTTATGGTTCGAGATAAATGATAAATATAAATTAATAGGGCTTGCTGTCTTCGAATTATTCGCAAGAGCTGGACGTTTAATTTCAAATGCTGGCAAAGTTTTGTTCCACCGTACTGCAACAGAAAGCCCACAGAGGTCGCTAAATCGGTCGGTTTATGCATAAACGCCGGGAAGACTAACAGAAGGTACCTCTTGAGATAAATGGCTGTTAACGTGAAGAAGTAGACAGTTTCAAATACCTTGAAGCGAAGTTGCCGCCGAATGGACAGAGTGAGAATGACACTGGCTCCCGAATCGACGCAGATGGTCGACTTTTCTCCAGCCCTAGAAAGTGCCTATGGGCCCGAACCGATATTTCTATAGCCAAGAAGATTCGCGTGTACCATGCATCTGTGCACTCTGGCGATCTCTACGGCTGTGAATGCTACGGGCTACGGACGTGGAAGATTAAAGGAAACTGGAGGAATTTGACCAATAATGCTTAAGGAATGCCCTTCAAGTGAAGTACACCGACTTCGTCTGAAGTGAAACAGTCCGCAATCGCTGCGACAACATCGTGAGGACATACTAGGCCCTCCAAGAAAGAGGACTGCGGTGGTTTGGACACGTTCTTCATCGTCAATATTACGAGCTCAGTGGTACTGTCCTCGTTCCGGCTCGGCTCAGTCCATGAGGACATGGAAGTAGTTCTACTACCTTTGATTTACGGTCTCCGGAGCTGGCAATGACAGTGGATTGAACTGTCCGGGTCTGCTGCCACGCATCGTCACGCGTGGAGAAGTACGATCTGGGACGTCATCAAGGCTGGCTAGATCAGTTATGATTGCAGCCGTAAAAAACATAGGTAACTCCAAAAGGTCAGGAAATTTTCGCGCTCTATGCCATTTTCCGATTTTATGGGCGATTGGACACGTAGCTGCTTGTGAATGACGTCCATACCTTGTCTTCCAGCAAGCGTCATTGACATTTTTAGCGGCAAAGACGGTCGCTGGTCAGGGAAACAGCGCATCCGTTTCATCCTGATCTACTGCTGAAGAAGGCTTTTCGTCTGACCTGATTTTATTACCCTCACATTTTCTGTGCAAGTCGTGTGTATAGAAACCCCTTCGTTTTTTTCTCACAACAAATTTCTTTTGAAGCGCTGTTTTCCCGGAATAAATGTGAACAAGGCAAAGGCGAGTAAATACGCAGAATTCATTGACGTCATATAATTTCGTGGCCTCTTATTCAACTGCGTACGTTTGTTGCGGGTGCGCGTAGTGACGGACAAGAGTGGGGGGGGAGTTATCTAGGTGGGTATTTAATTGGACAGCTTGCCTTGTCTTTTTAGTAGGCAATGACCGTACGCAGTTGAAGAAGAGGCTGCGAAATTTTATGACGTCAATGGACTCTGGGTATTTAGTCGT